ATATATACAAACAGTCAACACTAAATGTTTTTGTTACTCATTGAAGTTAACTGCCAAAGAAGACAGTATAATACTTACGTTGATTTGTGTTGCTAAATGGAAAGCACTCAAAAATATGAATCATGCTCAGATATTAAGACAATTCAATGTATAGAAAAAATTAACCACAAATCTGACCGAGAAAATAAGTAGGTTATATCATTGTAGTCGTCGTAATAACCACATTACTACATTCGTTTTCTCATAAGAAATATATACAAAGTATTTACCATTTTCTCTGTTTTTATCACATGCATATTTATACACGGTAGTACATATCACGACACGTCTCACGTTCGCACGGTAACAGCACAGCATGCTAACCTATGCTGACATTGCGTCAGTTGCGTTAAATATAAGCCAACGTACCCCATCTCTATATATATTTGATTTTAATGATTTTATTATAACAAATTACTGTTATTACTTAAAATAACATGCCATATAGTAACGAAAACTTTTCTTTTAACTGATAATACGTCATTTAGATTTATTTTCTCAAGCTGAGAAACATTAATACGAAATATTGAAAAGCTCGAAAATCTACTTGATTCCCCGTGAATTAGATTTTCTCTTTTTTTATTATAATACTTATTTGATTTAAATGAAATTTAAGAAAAAGTATCTATGTTATGAAAGAGATATTTTGCAGTAACTCTTCCATTGTTTCTTTCGCCACAAATATATAAACGGAACGCAAAGCCAACTTACCTCTTGTGCCAACGAGACCCGGTCTCCCCTAATATAATATAATACATATTTTTGATATTGATATTCTCTTTCAGAATAAAATCTTAAAAATTGAGCCAGTCTTGAAAAAGAGTAGCTCAACTTTTACTTTTTAGAATATCACTCGAAAGAATTTAAATAAAATTGCTTTGTAAAACGCTATTGTCGAGATATGTATACGAATTGGCTGTTTACAAGCTCGCCACGTCAGCAGGTCTGGCAATTACGAAAAAAGCAGATGTCGCAATCGTTCACGATCGGGTCCCCCGCATAGCTAAAGGGCAAAGCTAATTTCCATCGATCATCCGCTCATCGTTCCCTGATTTTTGTGCCGGTGGGAGGATAGCATTAGCATGAAGGCGCTCCTTCTGGAAAAAGAGTTGTGCCGGAGCTCCTTTACAGGCAAAATCGTGCGTCGGGCAATCGATCAATCGCTTCTCTAGGCGTTGCGGGTTATTACGTGAAAAATGCTTGTACCTTCGATAGCTTCTCACCGCGGGAGGGTTCGGACCCCCAGCGTACTCCTTTCCTCGTCCTTCATCGGTCTTTAGTGTATTCCTCTCGCTCTTTCTTTCTTTCTTTCCTTTTCCATCTCACATCCCTCTCTTGGTTCTCTCATCCTCGTGCCATCAGCAATCCTCATCTATCTTAACCCCCTCCTTCCACCGAACGCCGTCCTAGGTCGAGTCCTTCCAGTCAGGATTCTTCCTTCCTTCCTTTCCATCCCTTTTCTCTCTGTTCGCGGTTACGGTTCAACTTCCACGAGCTCCTCCGTACTTTGAAGGTACACGAACGTGCGCGCATATAATTCTTCGCGGGGGAGGAGGGAGAAGAGGTGACGGTGGTCGGGACAGGATGGAGGGGATTGTAAACGGCATACTAGCAACCGCATGGAAAGCCAAAGTGATAGAGCATGATTTATCTGTCGGTCGCAATTTTTATCGTCACCCCCTACCTTTAAAGGTTGCAGTTACGACGTTTGCGGCGTTGCTACGCGCATCCATACTCATTCTTTCGACTTGACGACGAGGGATTGATTGTAAATTTCGTCATTGACAGTAGACCGGGTGCCTCCGTGTGACTACATAGAGGACCCGTCGTTCTGGCATTGATTACATGATTTCGGCACGCGAACTTGATTTACGATCTCTGAAATCTGGGGGACTCGAAATTTATTGACCAAAGTCGCACCCACATGCATGTACACACAACACAGCGTTACCTAATCAAAAATCTCTACGATCACTACTGGAGAACATTGTAAAATGTGGACGGAAAGAGAGCGGTTTTGCTGAACCTATAATTTGAAAATTTAACTAGATACAGATCTGAAAATAATCCTGTTGAATTATCAAAATAATTATGTAGGAATGTAGGACGCTCAAGCTGGTTGTCGGAAAACTTTTTAAGAGTATTGACTAATGTTTGAACGACTTATATAATTATTTTGATGGAAAAAGTTTACTAAATTTTAATACATATTTCTTTGAACAGTTCTAAGTAAACATTTATTTACAGTAAATAAATATTAATTCAATAAAAAAAGTTAAATTAAATTAATATTTTTCAAATAAATATATGTTTACACTTAGCAAATATTAACTTAGAATTCAAACAATTATATATTTTTAGTTTTTTTTTTCAATAAAATTAATATCTAGCTGAATTTTTAAATATCTCAGTATAAAATTAGTCTTTTCATATGTATAACATTATTGATGAAGGAATTACTAATAAAAGTATGATGATTTTTAACTCATCACTTTTAGAGATTATTCTAACGATCTTTCCAGGGTGATTATTTGTTTGCACGTGCACGTTAAACGAAGCCATGATTCTCTTCGTGATTTTCTTGCAAACTCAGTTGCAAGTTGTTTGCGCGCCGCTATCGCGGCGCCATAAAATTAAGGCAACGATTACCGCCGTCCCGTTTTATAGATCCGCCATACAGTCGTATTATTTAAACGTGCGCGTCACGATCGTATACCGCCGCGCCGCGGAATCTTGAATAAGAGATTGTAAATTTCGAAAATCCGGTACGCAAGGTTCAACCGTAAATTTCTCGCAGGTCGAACAACAAGTCAAAATAGATGCATTACGTATGCTGCTTTGCGTGCCTCATAACTCATTGCTATTGTCACTATCATTGCTCACGATCGACCATTAACAGCTGTCGGTTGCTGCTGCTTGCACATCAATGGAAAATCGCATTAAATTTATTGAGAGACGTGACATAAGACTTTCCATCTCTTCGTCTTTTTGAACGAATTTTTTGATTCTTCGGTTGATGGAAAGATTTCACGACCGTTTTTTTAAGAGAATGCATTAGAAAACCGTTTTGATAGTAGCAATCGATCTCCGGCAAGATAATGATGGGATTTCAGGCAAGAAAGGTGACCGTGCAGAAAATATGCATGTATCACAGCTCTACTCGAAAAGGATTTATTGAAGTATCTAAAGATTTATCTCGATGCAGATCTGAAATTAATTTTGTTAAAATCAATCAAAATAATTATATAGAATGCTCAAACAGGTTTCTAGAATATCAAGACTTTTTGCAGCGTTGTTTAACATACTTGATGTTTCTACGTAATTATTTTGATTTAATTGAATACAGATCTGAAAATAATTTCAATGATCCAATAAAATTATTTTCATATTTGTCAACCTAGCGTAATTAACAATGAGAAATTACAAATTAACAAAAAACTAATAAGTTTTTACAGACTGTTTAAATTAACACAATTTGGAGAAAACATAAAACATACAGTACAGGCAATAGGAGTCAACGCTGGTTATCAATTAGCTATTACTAAACCTTTTTTTATGTAAAAGAATATTTTGTATCTTTATAATATTTTTTTATTTTACAATTAAAATTTTTTATGAGCAATGATATTTAATTTATTTGATTTAATAGTATCGAATATTTGACACATTTGTATAAAAATATAAAAGTCAAAATTACATTTCTGCTAAAGAATAGAGTTTGAGTATTCGCTAAACTAAATGAAAAAGATATACTGTGTGTGTGTGTAGGTCTATTCTATGTCGGTAAAAATTAATATCGCACATAAACAATATTACAGATAACATTATGAATTCGTAATCTGGAGACACTGGTAGTGTCTCGGCGCTAAGCCAAATCGCATATTATTTAACTGCAAAAATATATATTTATAACAAAAATATAGATTTTTATAATAGGATAAATATTATTTTATGCAACAGATAGATATATAGATTTGTGTACAATTGAAGTAAGTAAATAATTCCATTTTAATACGTATTGTAGTGATATTTTAATATAAGATAGCATGATAAAATAAAGAGTTGCCACAATATGCATATAACAAAAAAGATTAGATTAATTGAATCTTAAATTCTTTCTCGTTTTCTCTCAGTTGTAAATTTATTGAGTTATCTTTTTTTTTCTGATAAACGCGATATCATACGAACGTATAGTATTTTCAAAGTCTGTTCATTACCATATGCAAAACAAAAAATATATTTGCACATTTATTTTTTAGGAATAATTTTATATGAAATGTGATATATAATATGAGGCATATTTTTTTTCTCTTTCATATTTTACCATACATAATAAAAAACATTTTATGTTTATGTTAATCTATTCAAGTCCTTGTTAAAATTTCGTGTTGAATTTTTAACATATTCGAGTATTAATTTAACATAATGTGATTATGTTTAATTTAAATATTTTGTGCTAAAATATTTGACATTTCTTAGTCTCATAGTAATATAATTTATGTGTTACTTAAATGAGTAAATAATATAAAAATAACTAATAATAAGATAAAAGTCTTAAAAGCTAAAGTCTAAGATAAATGAATAAAATACTTGTTGTGTTATTTAATCATCATAAATGTTAATTTTATTTAAAAAAATGTTCTTACAAGTTTGTTTACAAATTATGTTAGTATTACCTTATTTTTAATTTAATGTAATGTTATTTTTAATTGGTATCGATTTTCTATTTTTAATATTAGTATAAAAATAAGTATTAGTATGAACATTAAAGATAAATAAATTTATAAAGAAAGCGAAAATCTTATTATAAAGGAATGAAATCTTTTCATGCCTGCGATTTTTATACTTTTTTATCAGTACATTGCAGAAATAAATTTAATACAAAATGAGCTTTATTAAAAATTTTCTGTCTTTGACGACATTACCAACAAATGCTCTTTAAATGCATTATCACGTATTTGTATCGTTCAACTGGGATCGATCGTTGTAGAAATGATTGATTGAACGATAGCGTGGCGCCATCATGATAGAAAAGTATTATTAACCTATTGCTTTCAATAAGTCTAGAAATGTTATAGTTGACAGAAATTTGTTGAAAATCCGCGTGGCAATGTTATTAATAATATACTCAATCATCTTTTGGTTCGCGACGATGAGCTTAGGTGTAACATCGGAGAGCGTCTTGCTGAATGTCTCGGACATGTCCTCATTGTTGTATAAGCCCGTTACGTTAAACTGCGAGCGACAGAAAAAAAAATTTTATTAGAAATCAGAAAAAGTGAAAATGGTCAGTAACAGAAAATTAATCGTTTTTATTCCATATAATCGAATTGAGAAACGTTTGAGAGAGTTACGATTTGAATCAACTTCTCTACGAAGCCGTTGCATGTAAAATGTCGAATTTCTATAATTTCAGCTGTACATTTATAATTTTTTTCAAGTAAAATAAATTTATTAAAATCGATTAAAGAAAATTAAAGTGTTTTATGGAGACTTCATGATTAGACCAATTGACTTTTCATAGTCAATTTATTTCTTTTTTTCTATCTGCTTAATCCTTTTACAATTTATGTTATTTTATATATATTTTCATACATATTGTTCATATAAATATATGCTTATTAGTCAAAAAGTTTCTGAGGAGTTCAATAATAATTTTTTTTTAGCAAAATGTGATGTAGATTTTTCGAGTCTTTTTTATAATAGCAGTTTGTAGAAGATCGATATCTCTGCTAGCAGCAGTGTGACTGGATTGCCTTTTTATATATGTAAATTGAAAGGCAAGAAACGTGGCAATGTTAATTTGATATATTGTACAAGTAATAATTTTCTCGCATAATAACTAATGTAATCAAGAAATTAACATATATTATTTAATGTATTAAAAAAATTAATAAATTATTCTTCAAAATTTAAAAAAATTAAATGTGCATGACATTGTAGAGAAAACTTGTAATATGAGTTTACATTTATATGAGAAAAATGGTTAAGAAAATCCATTATCTGAAATATAAAAAAGTGATAAAACAATATTTGATTTTCATCATTTTTTTTTAACTTCTTACATTTAATTTGAATTATTCTTTATTTTGAGGACAATATGAAAATCGTTAATAGAGTTTTGAAAATTATGTGCATATTTTGTTTTTCAAAAAGTTATCTAATGTTAACGTAAAGTCACTTATTTTATATTCGATATTATTTATGCATTAGCCTGATCGCTTATAGATGCGAGTCCTGAGGATCACAATCGCAAAAGCCAGAAAATAATTCATAGAACTGTAACTTAATTACTTACGTCCAATGCTTCCAAGAAAATCTTTGTTGCTATAGTTTGAACTTGCATATGCCGGTCCTTCAGGTTGAAATCAACATTCATGATAGTTCTGAAGTTATACAGGGTTCCACTAAAAATTAAATATACCTCTGTAGCTTTAAAGACTTTATGATCTCAAATTTTTACTTTAAAAAATTATCGAAATGCATAGAAATAAAGTGCATAGATATAGAAATAGATAAAATGTAGAAATAAATAAAGTAGAAAGAAATATTATAAAATGTGTCTTGCACTGAAAAAAGTGTCTGATTACAGCCACCAAATATTAAATGAAATAATTTTAAATAAATATTGAGGTAATAACTAAACACATAATTTTACCTTTAAAAATTATTACACTCAATATTTGATAACTATAATTAGACTCTTTTTTACAGTATGTAATTTTGAAGAAAATAACTTAATTATGAAGGAATAGTATTTATTAACAAAAAATTATTAATTATCATATATTTTAAATAAACGCCGTCAAAAAGATCTTCCTTCCTGATTTTGTGCGCGTTAAAAAGATTTATTTAAATATTCATTCAATTTAATAATGGAACGATAAATTATCTTAAATCTAAAAAAAGTACCGTTGAAATTTCCATCAAAGCAATCTCAATTGAGTTTCGCATTTGCTAAAGACGAGCTTGACCACCGACCGTAAGAAAGCTGAACGCGAAATCGCGGATCGGCGCGATCGCGTGTTTCGCACGAAGCATATAATTTCAGTCACGATTTAATAACGCGCTGTGTCGCAGCCGCTTATCGCACGTCGCCTGATAAAGTCGCGAAAGCGCTGAATGAAAAATGGCTAACTCATTGTCAGTCATTCCAGCTCCCGTTTTTTTTTCACGTACATATTTCAAGCATTGTAGTTAAGTATAGATGAAGCAGAATGAAAAATGAGCGTTCTTTACGAGGAAAATCAGCGATCTTTCTCACTGCAATAATGATGATAATAATAATTAATTATAATTATGATAATGATAATAAAAAATTATTTATTTTAATTACGATAAAGGTAATCACAATATATTATTATGATAATAATAATAATTGAAATTAATACGCATTCGCTAAAGATTTAAATTTTTCTATCTCTTTTATTGACAAATAATAAAATGCAAAAATTAGCAGCAAGATTCTTTTTCGTGTGCCATAGATATTAGAAAATCGCGATCGAAGTATGATAATTAAATTCTCTCAAAAGGAATAAATACTTACTTTATATCTCCATCTCCATAAATATCGTAGTTAAGGGCGTTGCCTTTCAAGGAGTAATTAGTACTCGCGACCGTTAACCACGGCCAGTTTACATCTATGTAGGCATTTAAACTAAATGGTTTGAATTTAGCGCTGTTGACATTATACGAGGTCAAACCACTCACGTTAAAGTTTTCAAGAAATCCCTCGAGGCTGAAGGCACGAAGAAAAAATAAAAAATTTGCCAGTCGTCATTAATAAACTTCTGTCTTTACTTCGTCTAATAACGAGTCGTTTATGATACGTAAACTGTCATGTCATACATGATACATGTTAAACTAAGACATTCTAAGCAGAACAACAAGTCACGATAACATCAAAATGACATTAAAATGAATAAAAAATGATTGAAAAATGACTTTTAATGATTATTTTAGAATCATTTTGACATTATTTTGATATCATAATGACTTGTTGTTCTGCTTGGAATCTCTCCTCTCTCACTAAACTATATTTTTTAAATATACAATGAATACAAAAATTCGTACAGGAAAGATATTTTTTTTAAAGATCTTTGTTTTTAGAAAGTAAACATTAATTAGCAAAAAATAAAATAAGTTATATATTTTTTAAATTATTTTATGTAAAAAGTTATCTAATAATGAAAATATATGAATAATAAAAATAAAAAAGTATATTTTTTTTATCGTAGAAGAAATACAATCGAGAAGTTTAGCTTTTAAAAAGAGTTATTTTTGCAAAAAACTTTTTTTTATATTAGGAAAGAATGTATTCATTGTTAATAAATTGTTAATTAAAGTTTATTTTTTATCAATAAGGCTTTTTTTATAAAAAAAATCTTCCCTGTATAAATATTTTTCACATTTATTGTATCTTTTTTTTAAGTGTATAAATTTTACTGCATAATATATGACGCCAATTTAAAAAACACAATCAAGTAAAAGATATTGATTATAATCATGATAACATTCTCTGTCGACTTATTAAAGGTAAGTATATTGATTTAACGCTTTAGCGATCAACGTGTTACTTCAAAAACCAAACTGATACGCACTCTATGTTACCCATAAAAGTAGATAAATTATATTTGATGGGCAGTCTGTTCGCAATGAACGGATCATGAATCGGAATTCCGTATATTTTGAATCCATTAGTTCCATTTTGCAGTGAGGACTTGAACTTTTCGAAGAAATTTTCCAAATTTATTTTAAATCCGTCGAACAGTATAGCTGCAACTAAACATATGCATCATATAATCAGTGGTAAATACAATATGTAAGGATGTTGATAATAAATATAGTATGTAAGAATGCCGATATTGCATAATGATGATGTTGATTCCTCTCTCTGATGGAATGTTATCGTTAAAAAAAGAACTAGAACAAAAAATACTCGAAGCACGGAAAGATCTGTAGGGAATTGATATCGATATATATGAAGAATAGACCGACAAAAATAAAGCATTTATAAATAAACATATTCAAATATATAATGTCTAAAATCTCTGTATCAAAAATCGAAATACCATTCAAAACAGACAAGTGAGAAATAGAATCTTCCAAAATAAGAAGCTTAAAAGTAGATCGTTCGAAAATAGACAAACATATTGTGATATTGTAAGAACAATATATTTTCGGAGAAATACTATTCGATATACGTCTAAAGAAATATTAGAGGAGAAAAAATACTATAGGTATCTACTTACAATTATCGTCTATCTCAATGGCCCAGGCATGACAACATATCAGGATAACCCCGAACACTACGAAGTTCATTTTTCTGTACAAAGTAGAAAACACAGTTGATTTAACCGCTTCCGAAGACGAAGAGGGTCAGGATACATCCTTAGGTCGTAATCACACTACAGGTTGTCGATTACGGTTGCTGGTTGTCGGTTCTATTTTCACCAATCATGCTGCAGCTAACCTGCACTCCTATCATGATTGGCTAAAGTAAAACCGACAACCAGCAACTGTAACCGACAACCTGTAGTGTGATTATGGCCTTAGAGGACGTTGTCACATCTCAAAACATTACTAGAAATATAAACATTTCAGAAATTGTTCTAATATTATGTCACAGTATCCGCGTAAAAGTTGAACATAATTCTCTTATTGATGCAAAAATTATTTAATTTTTTGTTAGCCTTGTGTAAAATTGTATTTGTAGTAATTATTTGCAAATTTGATAAAATCATAGCATTACGATTAAAATCAAACTCTAATAAACTGCAGCAAAATGTGGTCATTTCACTGCATAAAGCCATTATAAATTAAATTTTGTTTTATTTTTTGCAGTTGATTTCAGAACGAATTTATGACAAAAATTTGTTGGCTAATATTAGCAGATATTGACTTTTTGATTGATACTTCTCGCCGATATTGTATAGCCAAAATATCCTTAAAATCAATCGAATTCACCATTATCCCGAACAGTGAGCGTTCTTGCGAATTAATGATGTAGAAATATTATAGACGCACCTGAATATTCTCGATGGAGAGATTCTGGTAGATTCAGGATGAGAGTTGGCAAGACACTGCAGATTATTCGGTATCATACTTTTGGCGCTATATTTATAGATACTTATGTTCGGTAGGGAATATACGTGATAATTACGCATGTCGTATCGTTTGTAACTTAAGTCGTTAGCAAATGTCATGCAATTGTGTTTACATGATTTGTGACGTGCGATAAAGAATCGTAGGTGTGTAATTGAAAAAATTACGCCGTATATACAGCCTTGGCCAAAAATATTAGGCACCTTATTAATCATTATTTAAAGCTTTAGCTCAGAAATTAATTTATGACATTTCTTGTAAATTATCCTTTGTTTAAAGAACCCTTTAAACTTATGTACAATATCGATAACCAACACTGACAGAAAAATGTATGAATTTTAATTATATTAATAAATATTTTTTTTTATAAAAGTGCTTTATTAAATGTAAATATATATTTATTTACTACAAAATCCATAAATTTGATTTAACCATTATTTTTTATTTAGCAAATATATATTTTCTGTAAATAAATGTTACGTTAGCATCATTTAAACAATTATTCATTAAAATTTAATATATTTTTCTCTCAGTAAATATTATAAATAATAATGCAGATAAAAGACTTCAAGATAAATAAAAAAATATAAATGCCTAATATTTTTGGCCAAGGCTATAGGAGTCATTATCGGATCTCTTATAAAGTATACAGTATCACGCAATTTGATTACGCTAATCGACGTGAAAAACTTACGAGTACGAAACTAAATGATAGAGGAGATCGGGGTGGTTATCAAAATGCTTATAACTCAAACAAGATATGGCAATCTCTTTTTTTGACTGTAGATAGTTGATATTATATTAATTTGTTGTATAAAATAATTCGCATCACAAACATTGTATATTATGTATAACGATTTTTAAGAAAATGAAGTTGGTGTAAGTAAATTTTTCTTATCACGTATTCTGTTGTCTGACAAGTCTTTAGCAATATTAATCGCGATATCACTGATGTATTCATAGAAAGTGACGTGTCTTAGATCTGTGCTACAATTAATTAATCATTAGCCTGACAAAGTTTGTGAATACAATCTCTTTTATTAAAAATAGCTATGTGGGGTAGATTGACTAAAATGAAATGAATTTAGATAACAATTAATTTTAATATCTTTAGAGAATATATTTTTGGAGAATATATTTACAAATATCTTATATTTCATGTAGATATATGTTTTTTCATTTTTCATATAGAAACTACGGTACAAAAATAAATTACGTATTTTATGATTAAAATAACTCTTTTATTTGAATTAATACCATAATTACTATTATTTTTCAAAATATAGAACTGATATTAAAATAAAAATTGTATTTTTATATGTGTTATCCATAATAGATATACTACTTCCAATCCTAGAGCCCGTGATAGTCAACCCAAACACTGAGTCAATTATCACATTTTTGCAACTTTATTGAAAATTAAATAACTTATTTTTACGATATGATGAATTTACAAGTAATATTTTGTTTAATACCTAAAGTATGTAGGTATATTATAATGTACATAATTCAAAATCAGACATCCACTTTTTTTCTAAAAATCTCTAATCAAAAACGAGCCTCGGTCTCCTCTACACTGCATGTATTTCGCTTCGATTTTCTTTCTCTTTTCTTGCTTTTCTGTTATCTTACATTTAATTTAAGAATAATTGATAGTGACATTGTTTTCCTTCCTGGCTTTCGGTTTTCATTTCTCACATGCTCGAAATATGTACTCGAGCACGATTTATATTGCTGTTAACTTTTGTTTATTTTTCACAATAAATCTTGCGTGTTTTTTTCTTTCTCATTGAATCCCAATAAAAATGGAGATTAGATTGTAAAGCATCTTGCAACGTTGTAATCTGTTTAATCTTTTAAAAACAGTTTCTTGGTCGATTGGTGCAATTCTTCTTAATACTAAAAATATAAATCTTGACTTTGAATGTTTCCACTCATTATTTAACCGACTGTCGAAATGACAAGACACATATTGTTCTCGCAGTTATTATTGTAAAATTTGACGATAATTTTTAACATATTAACGAGTTACAAAATGTTGTATAAGAGAGATTTATTGTTCAATGTAGAAGCGTCGACTGTGTGAGTTTGAGTTCTCATTGCCACTCAGCTTCCTACTTTGGAGTACTAACTTTGTGAGTATGTGACTTACCTCACAACAGTTAACGGTTCAATTTTGAGAGGAAAAACGCTGGAGATATTATTTTGTTATGCAATACTCCAACCGTTGCGCTAGGGGGAAAGATTGCTGATGAAGACTCAAACTATGAGTGGAAACGTTCAAAGTCAAGGTTTATATTTTTATATTAAGAAAAATTGCGCTAAATGATAACCAGCGTTGATTCTTATTGCCTGTACTGTATGTTTTATGTTTTTTCTAAATTGTTTCATATTTGTATCTATTTAAATTTTTAGATACTTCAACAAAACTACCCCTTCCATATAGTGAAACTCTGCTTTCTTGCAAAAACGATTATTTTCCCGATCATCATCCCTGAGTGAGCCTCTTTTTTCGAGATTTTTCCAGATCGAAGCGGCGAGTTTCACAGTGAAAGTTTAAATGATACTTGAAACGACAAAAGTATACAACTTAACAATGGCATGAGAGATGCCCGGTGCTCACCTTTTCCCTCGCCGCCAATATCATGAGTTGTATAGTTTGCTCGTAAAGCACCGAACCGCCAAGCTGGTGCATTCGGCTGCACCGTACCGTGTAACGGGCTGTTTAGTGGCTGTTTAGCGATCCGATTCTACCGATTAGAGGAAAAAGTTTGCGTAAACACCAGCCGGTGCGTCTGTTTCGCACCGGTGGATGCATATGCTCTGTATTATATATGTAGTTTCGTGTGCGTATGTTCCCCTGTGTTCACGCCGGCAGCGCACCGTGTCGTGTTAAGATGTTACGCTGCACTGATGCAATTCGAGACACACACATGCACGCACGCACGCACGCACGCACGCACGCACACACACACGCGCGCGCGCGCGCGCGCGCGCAGTAAATACACTTGGAAAATCTCAATCTGGTGCATCGCGTAACGCGTTAACGCCGAATATTATTATCGAATGAGTATCACGTACGTCTCTGTCAATTATTCTTTTTATCGATCGTATCATAATTTCTTCTCGATTTCGATCATAGACCCGGAGGTGATTCGGACTAAAATATATACGTAACGCAAGATTTATCGGATTTATCTCAGAAAATTATATTTATATCGTGCTTGTCGAGATATACGATCGAGAATGTCAATGTATCGCCGCGGCGCGGCGCAGCGAAGAAGCCCCCTAGGCGTAGGTACCGGTACACTGAAACGTCAGAGCGACATTAAAATTATATTTACACCGTTGTAATGGCGTATAAATAGAAGTCACGTTCGCGTACTTGTACTAATAGCTCGAGCAGAACATCGGCAAAAAGCGGGCAGGAGGAAGTTTTATAGTGCATCAATAATGACCGACACCGGTGCCGCGCCGCTTTAAGACAGAACGTTACCTTGATGCAACTTGGATCCTTCATTAGGCGCTACCGATTGACCGGTAGGTAGGTAGGTAGGTAGGTAGGAAGATAGCCGTGCATGCACATGCATGCATGCATGCATGCAGAACGCTCGACAAAAAGCGTACGCGTGCAAAGCGTTTCGCAGCCTCGGGGCGCAAACGGAGAGATTCCAGATTCTCGACACCACTTATCTCCCCTACAACTTTCTGCCAGTGGAGCAGATGAGAGGCGCCGATAAAAGTGCATGAAATATATCGATAGGCTGTGCACATACGTATAATCTTGATCGACGATCGGGTTATTAATAATTCGACCGCGTTTCGCCCACTGTAAATCACGCGAAAAACAAGTTGTCTGCCAGAACGGGCCTTCGCACTGCGAGCGTTTATAACTGGTTTCCTTCCGGAAGTAAGAAGGAAGAAAAAGATAAAGAAGGAAAGAAAAAAAAGGGAAAGAAGAGAAAAGATATAGCACGGTTTAATATTGGTAGCGGAAGGAACGTGCCAGCACGACGCGGCGTTCCGCTATTACAAATCCGGCGTTCCTTGGAAAAGAATTTATTAACCTTCATCGGGGATGCGCGTCACGCTCATCGATATCCCGCACTTTGTTTCGGAGAAAATAATCAATAATCAATATCGGGGCTCTCCTCTTAACGCGCGCATACGGGCTACCGGCTTGAATTTATAGGCCTGCAATCAGTTACATCGTATAAAATCACAAGTAATTTACAGAGCTACATTAAAAAAGTGCAGATATCGATGGCAAACGAATATGGCGCCATATTTCTTATACTCTGCCTAGAACGCACGTGTAAATGCATAGCAAAGTGATATTGAGAAGATATTATAATGACGGGGTAATTAATTGAGGCGCATTGCGTGGCTGCACCATGCTTGTAATCAGTAAATTGAATTTTTCCTCGCGTCCGCCAATCCGCTTTGACTATTGGAGGCAATCGTATGGTTTGTATCGGCTCGCACAAAAACTGTATTTACCGTGTGCGCATGCAAAGCTGGTTTCATGCGCCCGCAGCCACTCGGAAATTCCAGATTCTCGTCACGGTCACTTATACAACTTTGTTTCCTGTAAATGGAATCACGCGATCATCACTGTAATTGTAACAAAAAGCCGCGGCTGCTCAATTCGTCCGGAACTTCCGCGCGAAAACCGTAGTAGAGGGCGGCGGCTGGCGCACAAATTTGAGGGATCATAATTTTAGTCGGTGTGCATGCGCGGCCATTGAACGCTGAATATATGTTGTGACAGCAGGTGAGGGCAATTGAGAAAGAGGTGCATTGAGAATGCATTCATTTTATTATAAAATGCTCTCTTTTTTTTTGCATATTTCGATACTTTCTGTCGTTTCAACTTACTATAGACACGAAAATGTGTACGTACGCTGTGTGTGAAATTAGAAGAAACGTATTCGCCGAGCTGCACGACCAACGAGTTCATGGAAACATT